TTCGAGGGCCATGCTGAGATCATGTGGAGCCGATGACCGACTTGAATATGGGCCCAGCGTGAGTGCGAAATGCTCGGACTATTCGGGGACAGTGTAGAACTTCTGACTTGAGAGGCCCAGCGTGGGCTCAACATGGGCGCGAAATCTTCGAGGACTGCGCGGGAGTCGCATTGATCCTCTGACAGGAGGGTTTCAGCGTGGGCACTTGGGCACGCAATCCTTTGGAAGCTTGCGAAGGCGACTCGACATGGGCATGGCATCCTCGAGGACCATTGGGGATTCATGTTGGGTCTTTGACCTGAGAGGCTCAGCATGGGTAGGGGCTCTCGGGGACTATGCGGGAGTCATGCTGGGCGCCCGACCTGAGGGTTTCAGCATGGGCTCAACATGGGCACGAAATCCTCGAGGACTGTGCGGGATTCGCGTGGGGCCCCTGACTTGAGGGTCTCAACATGGGCTTATCATTAGCGCGATATCCTCGATGATTATTCGGGGGTCATGTTGAGCCCCCGCCGCGAGTTTCTCAACATGGTCCGGACGTGGGCGCGGGATCCTCGAGGACGTCGCTGGAGTCATGTTGAGCTCTTGCCGCGAGGATCTCAGTTTGGTTTCAACGTGGGCACAGCATCCTCGAGGACGTTGCCGGAGTCGCAGCCACGGGCCTCCGGTGGAACCCTTTTATGGAGCCGCGAATTTGATGAGGGATGTGCCGCATCGGGGGCGGGCGCGCCGTGCGAGCATTGCCATTAAAATTTTCGGCGGAGCTCGTCATGGGGCCACGAAGCGTGTGAGGCGTGTGCCGAATTTGGGGCGGGTGCGCCATGTGAGCGCAGCCGTTGGTGACTTCGGTGGAGCTCTTTTTGGGGCCATGGCGACGTGTGATTGGCGTGGTTCGGTGGAGCTCCCTGTGGAAACACAAAACGTGGAAGGTGTGCCGAATCGGGGGCGGGGGCGCCATGTGATCGCAGCCGCTAAGGGCCTTCAATGGTTCTCCCCATGGAGCCACGAAGCAGCGTGTGAGGCGTGCCGAATCGGGAGCGGGTGTGCCATGTGAGCGCAGCCGCTGGGGCCTTCATTGGAGCACCCTGCGGAGACGGAGCGGAGCGTGTGTGGCGCGTGCCGAGTGGAGAGCGGGTGCGCCATGTGAGCGCAGCCCCCGGGGGCTTTCGGTGGAGCCCCTTATGGGGCCACGAAGCGTGAGAGCCGTGTGCCAGATCGGGGGCGAGTGTGCCGTGCGAGCGCAGCTACTGGGGTTTTCCGTGGAGCTCCTTCGGGGGCCACGAAACGTGTGAGAGGTGTAGCGAGATGCGAGTGATAATGGTGATGACAATTAGGATTCTGACGATGATGGCGACGATGGCGATGATGATCTGATGATGGTGACGATAAGGAGGGGGATGATCAGGATGTTGTTGATGATGATGATGATGATTATGATGATGATGATGATGATGATGATGCTGATGCTGATGCTGGTGATGATGCTTGCGATGCCGATGACCATGACGATGTTGTTGATGAGGGTGCTGATGACGATGGTGATGGTGGTAAAACTCATGGTGGTGATGGTGACGATGATGATGTTCAACATGATGATGGCCGTGATGATTATGATGAGGAGGAGGAGAGGGAGGAGGATGAGGATGATGAGGATGGTCATGATGATGATGATGATGATGATGATGATGATGATGCTGAGGACGAGAAGGAACATGAGGTGTAGGAGGACGATGACATTAATGCTGATGCTGATGCTGATGATGATGCTGATGATGACGAGGATGCTAATGATGCCGAAGTTGGCGATGGCGTTGCTGGGATGATGACGACGATGATGGAAATGAGGGCATGTGGAGGGCAGTTGCAGGGATGGGATGAGCCAGGATGGAGCGGGAGCAGAAGGTGCGCACACAGGATGGTTGGGTACACAACGATGGGGGCATCAACGACTACAGCGTCTTTCGGCCTTCTCGGGGGCTCTCTTTGACCGCCGCGTTCGGTCCTCTTGGGCCGTCTTGAGGCCGTCTTGGGCCGTCTGGGAGCGCTCTTGGGCCGTCTCCAGGCCTTGAGAGCTTCTTGGGGCGCGCCTGGGGCTGTCGTGGGGGTCTGGAAGCGCGCCCGGGAGCTCCGGCACCTGAACCGACTTTGCTGGTGTCTAGGCCTCCTAGATGAGGTCCAAGTAGATGGGGTCGGAGGGTATCGCCGCATCGGCGATGTATCGCCGATGCATCATTGCCGATGCTGCTCGACGTGGAGCCCGATTTTCTCCGCGCAGGCGGCGCCGATACATCGCCGATGTATCGCCGACGCGGCGCGATCCTCCGACTACATCTATTCGGACCCCATCTAGGAGGCCTCTAGTGTGATTGCCTAGGTTTTTTTCCTCGCTGGGGACTTCGGGCCCGCCTCGCTCGCGCGAGCTAGGAATACACAAAAATACTCTGGACATTTTGCTGGAGATTCTAGCACGCCTTTGGTCCGCTGGGCCGGCGAATTCGAGCGCATGGGATCGCACCGTCGCCTGCGACCCAGAATCGCTTGCTGGAAGCGTGGAGAAACCAGCTTCCCGAGGTCGTCTTGAAGTATTTCATCGAGATGAAGGGCGCAGGAATCAGCCTGAGCAGATGGGCATATCGCTACATCGTGGTTGCCCACGAGCGGTCCGATCCAGCATTCGCACTAAAGATTTACAGTGAGATGGAGGTGTTGGGAATTCAGCTTGATCGGGCGGCTTACAATGCAGTGCTAGGTGCTCGGTTTCAGCTTGGTATGCTCGACGAAGCCGAAGAGTTGTTCCAGCAGATGGTATACAGCTCGCTGGTCCCCAACGAAAAGACGTATGGAATCATGATCAAGGCCCGCGCTGCCAGTAACCATCATGAGGAGGCCATTGCTCTCTTCGAGAAGATGCAGGAGCAGGGGTTTGAGCCCGATCGGTACGCCTACCATCACGCAATCCGTTCGGGCATCATCTTGCAGCGCGTCGAATACGCCGTCGACTTGTACAACGGCATGGTCCAGAAGAAGGTGCCACCCCTCACGAACACCGTTTCCCTTTTGAGCGGAGCGTGCCACAGTGCCGGCTGGCACGCTCTTGCGGCCGAGCTGGCGACGCACCTGGCGCACGCCAAGGCGGCGGAGACCGCACACGGCGCCCGAGCGCTCGCACGAGATCCTGCGAAGAGCGCCGGGTACATCCCGCGCGCGCCCCAGAGGCGGTGCGTCGCCTGAGCTGACTGTCAGAGGGGGGAAGAAGGCACCGATGCCAGCACCCTTCCCGCATTTTCCCCTTTTTTGGGGGGCCTCCTGGGAAGCCCTCTTCGCCATGGCTGGGGTCGGCTCGAGATTCTGGTCAGAACGCACCCCGGGAGAGGTCCGCGGCAAAGCGGTGTCGGTGCCTTTTGGTGCCCCCCGATTGCATGTGACATGTCGTTTGCAGTCATGGGGCTGCGAACTGCCGGCGCGGCAGCGTCCACTTCCCCCCGGCGCGCAAGGCCGCAAGGTAGGCGCATGCGCACTTTTGATCTTTTGTTTGGGAGTTCCGTTCCCATTGGAGTGATGGTCGTCTTCGTGCAGCTCCTCTATCTCTCCCTCCCGCCTCCCTTCTGCCTCCTGCCTCGCCTCCCTGGGTGATGAGAATTGTGCAACCGCTGGCACTGTTGTGAGCTCCTGGGGTTTCCAGCGGGGCGCGGTGCTGCTCAGAGCAGGCATATCACCCCCCTCCCCGGGCGCTTCGAACTGCGCATCTGTCGGCTCTTTCGTGAGCTCCCGGGGGGCCATCGCAGCGCGGTGCCAACCAGATGAGAGCTACCCATTTTTTCCAATTGCGGATAAGCGTGAGGGTGCGCCTGGACTGCTTTTTGCCGGTGTTGCGTGGCTCGAGCGCCAATGTACTGAAGCCCGCCGCATGCACTGATTCTACTGCAACGCCTTGTGTAGGGGTCGCAGTGCGGGTCATCAGCAGTCTGCGAGGTTCGAGACAATTTGCGAAGAACCCCGCCGCGGGCGCCGATCTTCCTTTTCAGCAAGACCAGTCCGCCCGCCGTAGGCGGCGATTCTCTCAATTCACTGTGGGTAGGTCGCGGGCGTGGGTCGGGGGCGTGGGTCGCGGGTGGGTCGCGGGAGGGTTGCGGTTGGGTCGCGGATGTGTCGGAGGTGGGTTGCTGCGCAGCTGGTTCAGGCGACGACAACAACACAGCACAACAAGAATCGACACCGCGGAGCCCCACTCCAGCCACGCACCAGGGGACAGAGTAAGACCGCTCGGCCCCTGGGCGCAGCGAGCTGCGCAACTGTCGTCGCTTCCATGGGCCCCAGGGGATTCTAGCTGAGTGCGATGCTAGTCAGATCAGAATTGCAGACCCTCTCCTTGGGCGCTGGGGGCTGCGCATCTATCGGTACTTTCGGGAGCTCCTCGGGGGTCCAGTGGAGTTCGGCGTTAGCCATATCAGAATCATCGTAACACCCATCGCGGGTTGCTGACACATTTATCGGCGCTATCGTGATCCCTTGAGGGGGTCCAGCGGAGTGCGGTCTTATTACCCCTTCCTCCATGCACGCTGACACCTGCGCAATTGTGAGCACTTTCGTGAGCTGTTGTTAGGGGTCCAGCGGGATGCGGTGTCACCGCCGACCTCTTGCATCTTCTCCCCTCTCTCTCTTTCACGCGTCACTCCTACACTCCTAGAAGATGTCATTGTCGTGCGTCAGTACATCCTACCTCGGACCCCCTGTCTCCCATATACTTGAGTATGTGTGTGTGTGTTTGGAGGCAAACTAGCCTCAAAAGCTACATTCAAAAACTTTAACAATATTCTGATTCAACTCTGATTCAACTCTGGCCCAGAACTCTGTTTCATCCCTGATGGTTGTTGAAATTCGGATTTAATTTGGTCTGAACTCCAGAGCTAAATCAGAGTTTCAGCCAAACCAGAGAGATGAGTCAGAGTTTCAGGCCAGAGCCAAATCAGAGTTTGAGCCAAACCAGAGAAGAGTTTCAGGCCAGAGCCAAAGCAGAGCTGAATCAGAGTACCATCGGAGTTCTGGCAGTCCCGGGCGGAGGGCGTGGGGCGCGCTGCGCAAGTGCGCTAGTCCTCTCTCCTTGCCCATCCTCCCTCCTCCCCTCGCTCTCTTTCCTACCTCGTCTATCCCCTCCCTCCTTCCTCCACTCCCCTCTTCCTCCCTTTCCCTCCTCCCCCGTTCGCGTCCCTCTTCCCCCCTCCCCCCTCACCTCCTCCTCAGTTTGTCTCCTCCCTCCTCCCCTTATCCCCGCCCTTATCCTCCACCTTCCCTCCTCCTCCTCCTCTTCCTCCCCCCTTGGCCTCGCTATTCCCGTTTCCTCCTTCCCCGTTCGCGGTCGCCCGCCACGTGCTGTCCCTCCTCTGCCCTCGGCCCCCATTCCTCGCTTCGTCTTTTTGTTCCTCCTCCTCGTCCTCCTCATCCTCCCCCTCCCCTTCCTCCGCATCGAGCGTCAGTTTTCGCTCCTCGGCCTCAGTGTACCGTCCTCGTTCTCGCCCTCGTTTCCCCCCTCGCTCCAGACCCCGCGCCCGGCCTCGTTTCCGCCCTCGCCCCCGCGCCCGCCCTCGCCCCCGCCCGAGACCATTTTCGCTTCAGCCCTCTTTCTCGCCTTCGATCCCGTCCTCGTTCTCACCCTCGTTCCCGCCCTCGTTTCCGCCCTCGTCCCCGCCCTCGTTCCAACCGTCGCTCCCGCTCTCGTTTTCGCCTTCGCTCCCGCCGTCGCTCCCGCCCTGGTTCCCGCCGTCGCTCCCGCCCTCGTTCTCGCCCTCGTCCCCGCCCTCGTTCCCGCCTTCGTTGTCGCCCTCGTTCTCGCCCTTGCTCCTGCCCTCGTTCCCGCCCTCGTTCCCGCCCTCGTTCTCGCCCTCGTTTTCGCCCTCGTTTCCGCCTTCGTTCGCGCCTTCGTTCCCGCCCTCGTTTTTGCCGTCGTTCCTGCCCTCGTTCCCGCCCTCATTCTCGCCCTCGTTCCGGGGCCGCAAGGAGGCCGCCCGGGGAACCCAAGGGCCGCCCGGGAAATCATACTTGAAGCAGAGTTTCGGCCAGACCTCAACCATACCTCAAACGGACCTTAAACAGACACAGACCTTAATCAGAGTTTGGCCCAAAACAGACTTCAAACATAACCTAAAATTGCATTTGAGAAACCCAATCAGTGGATCATTTGGGGATTTATATTATGGCTATTGAGATCGATTGTGAGATCGATAATGAGATCGATCGTGAAGTCGAATGTGAGGACGATTGTCAGGTCGATCGTCAGACCGAGAGTGAAATCGGTTCAATGGGATCGATAGTGAGATCGATCGCGAGATCGCTCATGCGATATCAAATGAGATCGATTGTGAGATCGACTGTGATATCGATTGTGAGATCGATGGTGAGATCGATAGAAAAGTGGGTCATGAAATCGATGGTGAGACCGCTAGATCAGAAGATCGACCAGGAACCTGGGAACCCGGGAACTTCGCCGCCCTCCGAAATCGGCCAGGAACCGGGAACCCGGGAACCCAGAACCGGGAACTTGGGAACCCAGCGTGCGACCAAAATCGGCGGGACACTTCCGCCAAATCGTTCAATTTCCGCAAGGACCCCTTCCTTCAGTGCAAGCACTGATTGGGGAACAAACCCCAAACAGACTTCAAACAGACCTCCCAGGGTTCCCCAGACGTTAACCCCCGGAGGTTCCCCGGAGGCGCCCGGGAAATTCCTGAGGCGCCCGGAGGAATCCTGGAGGCGCCCAGGGGCGGCCCCCCGCCCTTATTCCCGATCTCGCTCCCCCCTCGTTCCCGCCCTCGCTCCTGCCCTCGTTTTCGCCTTCGTTGTCGCCCTCGTTCTCGCCCTCGTTCTCGCCCTCGTCCTCGCCTTCGTTCCCGCCTTCGTTCCCGCCCTCGTTCTCGCCCTCGTTCCCGACCTCGTTTTCGCCTTCGTTTTCTCCCTCGTTTTCGCTTTCGCTCCAGCCGTCGCTCCCGCCGTCGTTCCTGCCGTCGCTCCCGCCCTTGTTCTCGCCTTTGTTCCCGCCTTCGCTCCCGCCCTCGTTCCCGCCCTCGTTCCCGCCCTCGTTCTCGCCCTCATTCTCGTCCTCGCTCCCGCCCTCGTTCCCGTTTTCGTTCTCGCCCTCGTTCTCGCCCTTGTTCTCGCCCTCGTTCCCATCTTCGTTCCCGCCTTCGTTCCCGCCCTCGTTCTCGCCCTCCCGCCCCCGTTCCCGCCCTCATTCTCGCCTTCGTTCTCGCCCTCGTTCTCGCCCGTCGCCCCGCCCCCGTCCCCACCCCAGTTCCTGCCCTCGCCTCCGCCTTCGTTTTCGCGATCGTTCCTACCGTTGCCCCTAGTTCCCGTTTTCGTTATGGGCGCCTCCCGCGCCCAAGAGCCTTACGAAAAGTGTAGCGTTTCTCCTCCGCGCGCCCTGCCCCTGGGGCGGTCGCCGCGATGCGCGTCCTGTCACGGCGCGGCGGCCCTGAGGAGCGAGCTTCGGGTGAGCCTTTTTTCGCCCCAGCTGCCGTTGAGCAGTTTTGGGCAGGGCCGCGCAGGCGGGGGGCGCTGCCCTGCGCCCCCCCGGGCGGGCCCTAGCCTCAGCCTTGCCGCAGGGCGGCGTGCGCAGGCGGGCCCAGCTCGCAGTATTTGGCAGCTGGCGGCTGGGCTCCCAGCCATGACCCGCCGCTTGGCTTACGCATTCCGTCCGCTGTTCTTGAAGACGCGCGCGCACGCGGCCGACCCGGCAGCGTTCTGGGCCGACGCCGCGACATTGGTTTCGGCGTGCCCGAACCAAACCAGAATCATAATTACTTCAGAGTTCCCAGGCCAGAGTTCAATCAAAGTTTCAGTCGGACCTAGATCGGAGTTGATGCAGAGGGCCAGACTTGATTCAGAGTTCCAGCGCATGCATGAATCGGACAGTCATATGAGTTTTGGGCCTGTGCAGAGACACAGAGTTTGCCCCCCAAAGACATGCTCAACCATGGACCTGCGCGCTCCTCTCCATCCTCCACCTCTTCCACTAGCCTCGTACATTCTACATCCCACATTCCCCCTTCCACCTCCATCTTCTTATAGTGTGCCTCCCGCATCCTCCTCTCCTCCCTCCTGCGCCCCACCCTCTACGCCCTATTGCCCATCCACCTCGCTCCTGCCGTGCCTGCCGGGAGGGCTGGAGGGGGGCCGGGCGCCTCGACTCGGGCGATTGCCGACCCCCCCCCCCGCCTGCCGGCGAGGCGCGGCAGGCGGGCAGGCCGAGGGCGGGGCCGACTCCACCCCGGGCGCCGCCAGCTCCAGCGGCCACTGCCCAGGGCCGGGGGGGCGACGCGAGATCCCACCGCGATCGGTCCACCGCCGTCGCGTTCAGGGCCGTGCCCGGCGGAAATTTGCTTGCAGATGCGCCAATAGTCGGCAATCAGGGGCAGAGGGGGTCAGGGCTTGGCAGAAGAACCACAGA